AGAATGCCTGCTATCACCAATTCTACTCAGTATTTTAATGAGGATACTACGTAGTTCGGTAATGATAATCAGAAGACATCAGAGGGAAAGGCATCAGAAACTAAGAAACATAGCTACTATATTAATCAGTGATCAGAATATATATGAAGAAACTCTGCTAAAGAGAAACTATTAAATCTATAAGAGAATTTTTGAAGTTGCTGGATTTAAGATCAATACACTTTTTTACACACTTTTTCCTGCAACGACAAATAATATTAAGATTAAATTAAAGAAAATATAACTTGTAAATTACCTTAAAATATACCTGTTGCCTAAGAAAAAAATATAATTAAAAATGTATAAGAACTCTATGGAAGAAAATATACAACTATTACTTAGAGAAATTAGTTGAGACCTAACAAAGTAGAGAATTATTATATGTTCATGGAGAGGACAGTTCAGTATTGTAAACAGGTTAATTCTCCCTAATTTTAATCTGCAGACTACGGTCATCCCCACTCGCCTCAAAAAAAAACCCAATAGGTTTTGTGTATGAGACTTGACAAGCTAAAATTTAATTTAAATTTTTAAATTTCTAAAATTTAAATTGACTTGCGATTGACCATGAGTAGTCAATGTACTCTTCAAAAAGAAAAAATAATATATATAGATTTACTGTATTCGATAATAAGAGTTATTTTTAAAAATTATAATAATTAAGAGTTTGTAAGATAGGTGCAGGGATAAGCAAATAAAGCAATAGAACTGAATACAGGTTCCCAAAATAGACCCACTTATAAATGAGCCCTTGATTTATTAAAAACACCATGGTACCAGGTAAAAAATAATGAGGAAAGACCCAAAGAAAGTTAATATTTGTGTAAATATAGTAGACTACTATTCCTGCATTAGTTTTGCTACTTAACAAATCACCGCAAACTTAGCAGGTGAAATAAATGCAAATGTATTCTCACAATTTCTTTGTATCTGGAGTCCAAGCACAGCTCAACTGACTTCTTTGCTTTAAGGTTTCACCTGGACTGTGTTCTTATCTGAAGGCTGAACTGGAGGAAAATCCACTTGCAAGTTCAATCAGTTTGTTGGCAAAAATCAGTTGCCTTGTCTATAGGGCTAAGAGTTGTGTTTTGGTTTGGTTTTTTGGCTGGCTGTTTGTTTAGAGGCCATCCTCAGTCCCTAAATGGAGCCTGCAATTTTATGCCATGTGTGGCCATCTCCATTGGAAGTTCAGAACATGACAGGTTTCTTCTTCAAGTCCAGCAGGAGAGAAAGGACATAGCTGGCAGCCAAACGGCCGAGTCTTATACAACATCTGTAATCAGGGGAGTAACATTTTACCTTTGACATGTAAAGACAAACACCAATTAAAAATGAGAAAAAAAAAATTCTTCTTGGTGGAAAAAAATTTAAAAAAAGGAATGAGCCCTCTTTTTTTTTTTTTTTTTTTGTTAGAGTGTTTACTTTAGATGGCTTATGAATGTAAATTTCTTCTTTGTTTCTTTGACATTATATAATTATCTTAAGCTAAATATGCCTCTTGCCAGTTTTAGAACCCAGGAATGAATGTTTTTCTCAAGGATCTGGGAGCCATCTCTTTGAAATGTAAACATCAAGGAAGATATTGCCCGTATCATCCAGTCTCTATGAGCGTTTACCTTACGTGCACTTGGCAAAGAGGTGTGGCAAGTTTTATTATTCCTTTGGTTAAAGGCAATTAGGTCACAGATGGCCACTACAATTACCAGGTGAGTTTAGGATGAACTATAAGGAGCCCTGGTGGTGCAGTGGTTAAGAGCTTGGCTGCTGACCAGCCTAGGAAACCCTATGGGGCAGTGCTACTGTGTCCTAAAAGGTTGCTATAAGTCAGAACCCACTCTACCACACACAACAACAGCAAAGCTCTATGAGGGTTATTGTTGGCTTTGAAAGTTGGAAAATATGGGAAGCCGGGAATGTTGTCTGCAGATTTTTCTCTTAAATGGCTAATATCTCCCTCTCACATTTTAAATGTGTATGGTAGGCAGGGGTATATCCAGAAGACAGGCGAGTTCCCCAGTTGATTTCCATCAGCAGTTAACTGAGGCTTTCTCAAACTATGCTGGCAGGGATCCAAGGGCAGATCAAAATCACTTTCTGGTCCTAACTACTTGGGATGGTTAATGTTATATGTCAGTTTCGCTAGGGTATGGTGCCTAGGTTTTGGTCAAACACTAGTCTAGATGTTGCTATGAAGGTATTTACAAGTGATTGGTGTTATAATCCCCCATGTGTCTGTCAGTCTGCCTCACTGTGGTGGCTTGTATGTTGCTGTGATGCTGGAACCTATAACACCAGTATTTCAAAGAACAACAGGGTCACCCATGGTGGACAGGTTTCAGCGGAGCTTCTAGACTAAGACAGACTAGGAAGAAGGACCTGGTGATCTACTTCTTAAAAAACTGGCCAGTGAAAACCTTGTGAATAGCAGTTGGACATTGTCTGATATAGTTCCAGAAGATGAGCCCCTCAGGTTGGAAGGCACTCAAAATACGACTGGGGAAGAGATGCCTCCACAAAGTAGAGTCGACCTTAATGACATGGATGGAGTCAAGCTTTTGGCAAACTCATCTGCTGATGTGACACGACTCAAAATGTGAAGAAACAGTGGCAAGCATTCATTGATAATTATTAATAATTGTAAATAATAATAATTTGAATGTGGAATGTACAAAGTATGAATCTAGGAAAACTGGAAGTTGTCAAAAATGAAATGGAGCACATAAAGATGGATATCCTAGGCATTGTTGTTGTTATGCATGATCAAGTCTCTTCTGACTCATAGCAACCCTATGTACAACAGTACAAAAGTTGCCTGGTCCTGCGCTATCCTCACAATCGTTATGTTTGATCCCATTGTTGCAGCCACTGTGTCAATCCATCTCATTGAGGGTCTTCGTCTTTTTTGCTGACCCTCCACTTTGCCAAGCATGACGTCCTTCTCCAGGGACTGGTCCTTCCTGATAACATGTCCAAAGTACCTGAGACAAAGTCTCACCATCCTTACTTCCAAGCAGCATTCTGGTTGTACTTCTTCCAGGACAGACTTGTTCACTCTTCTTGGTAGTCCACGGTATTTTCAGTATTCTTCGCCAACACCGTAATTCAAAGGTTTCAATTCTTCTTCAGTCTTCCTTATACATCATCCAGCTTTCGCGTGCGTATGAAGCGATGGAAAATACCATGACTTGGGTCAGGCACACTTTAGTCCTCAAAGTGACATCTTTGCCTTTTAACACTTGGATCTTGGCTGAAAGCAGAGAGTACCCAAAAGATGTTTACCTGTATTTTGTTGACTATGCAAAGGCATTGGGCTGTGTGGATCATGACAAATTATGGATAGCATTTCGAAGAATGGGAATTCCAGCACACTTAATTGTGCTCCTGAGGAACCTGTACATAGACCAAGAGGCAGTGTTCAAACAGAACAAGGGGGTACTGTATGGTTTAAAATCAGGAAAGGTGTGTGCCAGGGTTGTATCCTTTCACCATACTTATTCACTCTGTATGCTGAGAAAATAATCCGAGAATCTGCACTATATGAGGAAGAACGGGGCATCAGGATTGAAGGAAGTCTCATTAACAACCTGCATTATACAGATGACACAACCTTGCTTGCTGAAAGTGAAGGGGACTTGAAGCATTTACTGATGAAGATCAAAGACCAGAGCCTTCAATATGGATTCCACCTCAACATAAAACAGAAATCTTCACAACTGGACCGATAAGCAATATCATGATAAACAGAGAAAAGATTGAAGTTGTCAAGGATTTCATTTTGCCTGGATACACAATGAACACCCATGGAAGCAGCAGTCAAGAAATCAAACAACATGTTGCATTAGGCAAATCTGCTGCAAAAGAACTCTTTAAAGTGTTAAATAGCACACATGTCACCTTGAGGACTAAGGTGGGCCTGACCCAAGCCATGGTATTTTCAATCACCTCATATGCATGCGAAAGCTGGACAACGAATAAGGAAGACCAAAGAAGACTGATGCCTTTGAATTATGGTGTTGGCGAGGAATATTAAGCATACCGTGAACTGCCAAAAGACGGAACAAGTCTTTCTTGGAAGAAGTACAGCCAGAATGCTCCTTGGAAGCAAGGATGGTGAGACTTTGTCTTCAGTACTTTGGGCATGTTTTATCAAGAGGGACCAGTCCTTGGAGAAGGACATCATGCTTGGTGAAGTAGAGGGTCAGCGAAAAATAGGAGAACCATCAATGAGACGTATTGACACAGTGGCTACAATGATGGCCTCAAGCATAACAAGAATTGTGAGGAAGGCGCAGGAATGGGCAGTGTTTCGTTCTGTTGTGTGTGGGTTCCCTAAGAATGGGTGCTGACTCAATGGCACCCAATAACAACAGCAACATAGATATAGATATAGATGATATAGATATAGATCTGTTTCTTTGGAGAATTCTGACTAATAACACCACCTTTGTCTTGGCTCTCTTGCTAACTGTCCAAACCCAAGTTAGGGAAAATGCGATAGGTTGGCAAGGCCAGACTGTTATTCAAATCTTAGCAGCAGCTACTTTGTTTTGGGACAATCTAAATAAAGACAAGAAGGAGCCCTGGTGGCACAAGTGTAAAGTGCTCCGCTGCGAAACGGAAGATCAGCCGTTCAAACTGCTACATAGATTTGTACAAGATCGTGAAAAAAAAAGCAAAACCTACTGCCCTTGAGTCGATTCCAACCCATAGCAATCCTATAGGACAGAGCAGAAGTGCCCCATAGGGCTTCCAAGGCTGTAATCTTTATGGAAGCTGACTGCCACATCTTTCTCCCATGGGTTGGTTGGTAGGTTCAGACCCAGACCTTCAATTAGCAGCCGAGCACTTAACCACTGTGCCACCACCAGGGATCCTACAAGACCCTAAAACCAAAACCAAGCCCGTTGCCGTGGACTCAATTTCGATTCATAGTTGTTCCATTAACTCCTGTAGTTCCTAACCCTACCACTATTCTGGTGGTCTTCAAAGGGTTTTTCTGTAGTTGATCTGTGTCCTGCTTCTCTCTCTTCTCCCTCCTTCCCTCCATTGACTGAGTCTAAAGTCTTGCTTGTGTTTGCTTATGGAGTCCAATTATTTATGGCCACACCTTAGGGTGTTGAGACTCTCTCTAAAAAGAAACCATACTGATCTATTCCTTCTCTTTACAACCTAGACTCAAAACTCGAAGATTTTTGTCAAGGTGCAACTATTATCCCTCCCAGGTGCCCTTTTATCCAAACCACCTCTATTTCCGTTCATTTCACCCTTACCAAAAATCTAGCCTCCATTAGACTTTGCCAATGTCACTTTTCCTTATTCATACCTCTCACTTATTTTAGTATTCCTATACCTTGGGATATACAGTCCAACTCAGTGTTCCGGGGCGTTATTCATTTTCTTACCTGAGATACATTTTGTAATGGAGAGAAGAACAGTGAATTAAGAGACACAAGGTAAGCCAGCCTCTGGCTGGGAGGAGTGGAACAGTGTGGGCTCCAGACAGATTCCGACCGGGAGTCTAATCCAGCTGCATCATGTACTATAATTGCAAAGTCACATTACCAAACTCTCTGAGCTTCAGGTTCTTCATCTGTGAAGTAGGTCTGATAAGCCCTGTATTCTAGTGCTGGTGCAATGTGTGCAAGGCACGTACAGCACCTGGCAAAGTGACTGGCAAATGTTGGGTCTTTAAAGAATGGCACTGATTACAATGATTATTTTGACACCACCCAATACCCCCTCCTCTTGACA